CTATGAGTACAACCCCCCCCCCCGCCCTACCTCCCGGATCTACTCGGGTATTCACTTTCCATCTCACCGTGCTTGATTGGCTTCGATTTGTTGAACCTCATCAGCGCGAACATCACTCTCGCCGTGCTCTTCACCACCTGCTCGTCGTACGATAGCCTTGCGCCCGGGTCCACAAGCTCGCTCCAGCACTTGTTCAACACGTCCTCCAGCTCCCTGCCGAGAGTAGCAGATATTTATTTCAATCATATTCCACGGTTGATTACCTTTTTTTTATCATAGAGGGCGCACTTGTATGTCGGCAAACACAAAACCGTCGAAAGGCAGAATCGGCGGACCTACTTAGAGGGGGGGTTCGCACCTAGAGCGGTGTTGCAAGTGTTGAGGCTCGATATTGCAGCTTACTACGTAGTTTGGGCCGAGGGGCCGCACGACATACTTTTTCCTTCCCCAACCAGCGTTGCACAACCTGTCACGCAACCTAAACGTCTTTTTCGGCCGGCGTCGATCTGGATGCTTCGCACTTCGACGACGACACACTCTGTATTCCGGAGCAGCCGCCCGCGGGTCAGAGCGCTTCGTTTTCACTCAGGCCATACTCAGCAATATCTTAGGCCGTCCTTCTGAAGGGCGGAGCAGGCAACACATCCGAGGGCAAACAACATACACGTTATGGGGCATACCTGATGTGGTGTTTGCAGTCGTACTGAGGATCAGCCTTGTTGAGCTTGCCGGTGGCCGGGGCCAAGTGGAAGAAGCGGTCGTAGAACAGGACAAGCAGGTCTCGAGGCATGCACGTCCGGACCAGGGGGTAGTTGTCATGGAGTTCCACCCCCCAGTGGTCGGTGATCCGCCGCTTCTGAGTGATTCCCGCGGTGATGAGGATGCCATCACGCCGTACAGATGGTTGCGCTCGAAGGCGTACTCTCGAGATCCATGCGCCAGGTCCTTATACGGCATCGTCTGAAATCCCCGCGTCGCCTTCTTCCCCCGATGCCGAGGTTCCTGGTGTTTCAGACTCGTCGGCGCAGAAGTTGACGTACCCGTTTGTCTGATGAGAGGGCGGGAAGGGGCGTGATATAAAAAAAAGGCGGGAAGGGGTGGGGCACGAGAGGGATTTGTAAAAAACAATTTGGCACAACGGAAGAGTGAGCTCGCCTGGCGCAAGGGTGCCAAAACATCTTGAACATAGTTGGTGCATACCATCGAAGTTGCTTGGAAAATACAGCCCCTGGGTTCAGGTAGCCATGAAGGCATACATGACTCGTACGAGTTCCGTGCAGTGCACAAGGTGTGATTTGCAATGTCGTTGATGGTAGTAATTGCCTTTGGCGTCACGCACGACGCTAGAACTACCTTCACGCGATGCCGCTGCCTTCCTTTTGACTAATGCATGTTTTCTTTTGTCGACCCTGATGCATGCTGGATCCTAGCTCCATCGCGTTGCACTAATGCCCCCCCCTCCCCCCCGGCCGTCCAAGCACTGCACGTCTGAACATGTAACGATCAACACCTGGCCCTAACAAACAATTCGAAGTGAAACATGCACCGTGGACGACGGTCCGCCATGTACAGTCCGCGCTTCATGCTATTGTGCGCGTGATGGCCGTTATACTGGTGCTCCTGCCGCTGTTGGCATGAAAATCGTGCCACCACTTGAACACCAATCTTTTTGGTTGTTTTTTTTTTTGGGGGGGGGGTATGCCCTAACTCGCAAAATATGGCGGAAAGACCCAAAACGCGACCTCCGTTTTCCTCACCTCCCTCGGGACGACGTCCTGCGCCTCCGTCGGGGAAGTCTTCTCAAAGAACATGAAGGGGAGACCCCCACCCTTCCCGTTGACGAAAGAACGCAAAACAGCTAGCCCTTGTTTGTCGACCTTCGGTAGACTCGTCTTCAGCTAGTCCGATAGGCTGAACTTGTCGCCGCCGGGGTGTCTGTGCCGTCTCTTGTACGGGTCGGATGACTCGTCACGGGATTGTTCCTCGAACACCCACCCCTTCGGATCGTCCGGGATGGGAGGGAGGGGTGGTTCACCAGCCTGGAAAAGACCAACAACAAACACGAGGTATAATTAGAGGGCAACCCAATAATACACCTGGAATACAAAATCGAGTCGCACAACAGCACCGAACAACACACGGCGAAATGGCACAAACTTATGACACGACAGACAGACAGCAGTATCGCCTACGGCAATGAGCGACACACACATTTGGCATTATTAGTCATCCGTCTACAGCAGTAGTGCGCTCGATGCTACTCAAAGAGGAAAAATACAAAAATAACATGTCTAATGCACTCTAGTAGGTTGTCTTGTTGTCGAAGGAAATGAAAGCGCACCGTTGTGTAGTTCATGGTGTTTTATCACATAGGGATACATTCTTAGGGAAAGCACGCCAGCGCTGAAAGGTAGGCTAAGCACTGCATATTTTGCGCACCTTTGGTTTTGGGAGCTTGATCCGCTTGAGGTGCCACACACTCTCCTGCGCTCTCCGGAAGCCCTCATCCTCGATCTTGGAGGCCTGCGCGTAGTGCAATTCCTTGGACTTCGGTATGAAAGGATGCGCACCAGGAGTCTGCAATTCGTCCACGCCACCACCCAACTCCGACTCCGAATCATAGTTGCCTGCCTCGACGCTGCCCCCCACTCCAAGAGCTGCACCTGACGCCGTCTTTCGGCGCTTCTGTAGGACGTCATGATGCTTGCAAAATCCTTGCGTCCTACCTCCAACCTTGTTGCCGCACTTTTCGCCACGTCGTGCGCCGCGGCTAATGACCACGCGGGGCGTAGAGGCCTCCTCATGACCTCTCGGCGCACCTCTGGTGGATGCTCCGTGTGTTTGCAGCTGTGTGTTGGTGGGGCGGGCGCGCTCTACCCTTGTGTGCTCTACAAAACTCTTGCATGTGGTTCGGGGTTTCTCTCCTGTGCTCCCCTATACGACTAGACCGCACACACTCTCGCGCATTTCGCAGAGATCGATCCTGAGAAAACCTGAGATTGATCCTGAGAACGGTCCTACCGGAGAGATGGAGGCGAACCGCACATCTACGGCATCTGCCAGCAAGTGGAACACCGGGAATACACGGTTTTGAGTACCACCTCCCAACCCTGACCGACCACACGGGGCATTGGGTAAGTTCTAGGTCTTACAACGTTGGTAAGGTTCTAAGGTGGAGGTCAGGGGTAAGGGTCAGGCAAGGTCCCGGCTGGCGGCGCAAGTTTTAACGTGACAGTCCCGTATTTGATCCACCGCCACCGGAATGTATCCTACATAGACTACCGTGCTGTATTATTATGGATTCATAGAACTCGCTTTTTTTCAAGGCTGGTGTCGTGGCCCAGGAGGATGAGTAGTTTCATGTGAAAAAATTTCCTATCCCCTCTGGTACTTATTATTATCCCGTCATTTTACCCATGGATGATGGTGGTGGGTGGGTGGGACCCCAAGCAACATGGTAGAGTCTACAGTAATTTCTGTGAACACACAGAAGAACGACATCCATCCGGCGATAGGCAGAGAGGAGCATATGTAGAAGAGTCGATAGAAGAGCAGAGAGAAAATATGTATCACCCTCGCCGCTCTGACTCAGCTTCCTGCAGCAAACATTAGGGGCAGCAGCCGCCTACCTCACATACATACATACATGCAGCAGCCGGAAGATACTTGTCTATCATCACCCGTGCGGACACTTGCATCCGTTGTATTCTTACTAGTTTAGTCTAATAAATTCGTAAATTTGTAACGTGAATAATAGTTTTGCTGTCGGTGGGAGATGCGAGTCGCTGCTAGAGTAAGGCGTCGACCCCTATACATACGTACATCAATGTGCGGTAGTCGGCCGAACCCCAGAAGCTCATACGTAACATTGATTGATTGATTGATTGATTGGTTGTCATTGTCGTCGTTGTTGTTGTTTTTGTTGTCTTCACATTAAAAACCGTTCGTTCCGTTCTCTCTACCCAGTACCGCAATTGTGCGTGTTATCGCACCCCCGTGTTAGTAGCGTTTTTTCTATGGCGTATTTCTCCACAACTAGGAGGGTGCGGACACCACAACTGGTACCTCTCCGGAAAGCCCTCGACGATATGGTTCTAAAACCACCCTTTTCGGAGGTCATACCTCCCTGGTTGTGGAGAAATACGCTTGAGAAAAACGCGTAACACGGGGGTGCGATAACACGCACAATTACGGTACCGTCTTCTGTCCGTAATATACATGTAGTACAAACACTTGACGCGCTCTTGTTGGCAAAATCGAAAGGGGCAGGCGGACCTTCGTTGGGCCCTCGATGTCTCTTCAACTCCTCCCGTCCTGTTGTTCGCGGATAGCGACACAGACAGCAGTGTCTAGTCTCCAGCAAATTTGTCCGTTACAACAGGAGAAGGAAGATGCTCAAATTGGGGCGGGGTCATCATTTGCGACCCCCCACCGAACCATCCTCACTCGAGGCGCCACGAGATTTGCACTGTAGTTCGGGACCATCAGCATTTGAGACCGGGTCGGACAAGCGTGGGGGATGCGAAAATTCGGGCACATGTTGTTGATTGATTCAACAATTACTATGGCATGTAGAGGGGGAAAAAAACGCACAACACACCTCAGCAACAAGCAAAAAATACCTCCCTGCCCGCAACGTTGCCATGCAAGCAGTCGAACGCGCATGCATACGCTCTCTCTCACGCAGCGCGTAGCACCCCACAAACATGCCTCTTTCCTCCCCGCTCGACATGGACGACACCTTCTTCGAACTGCGATGCCCCCCCCCCCCCCCGCCCCGCGAAAACCAGCCAGCTACAAAACCACACTCAAGCTGCTGTCTCCCCCCCGACTGGCAACGAGCGCTCTATCTACTACCAAAGTCGTAGAGTACATTCGAGAAATCGCTTTGCTCAATAAATGCTAAAAATATATCATCAGTCATATCATAGCGCCCCGGTGTTAACGCTGTCGTTCCGTTCGCTACAAGGGGTGGGTGTAGACGTCCCCGGGGTATATTCCAAGGAGAGAGGTGGCAAACGAACATTGCAAGTCACAGCCAGAAGCACAGCATGCGGAATCTAGGCATGCGTGTCATGGGGGAGGGGGGGTACAGGGTTTAACATCGTACCATTCCTTTTCGGGAGTATTGCTCAGCAATTCCATCAAAATACTCAGTCCCAACCCCTCTCCAATCCCCCCACTATGTGGCACCACTATCTTGCAAAAAAAAAAAGTGAACACCAAGCACGCCCACTCCAGGGCGGGGGGGAGGAGGGTGAGAAAGATGAAGCAACTCTAACCCTCCACCTAGCATCTCCACGGGAGAGCAGAAAAAAACGAACTAGAACCAACAGCTTGAGGCGGATGTTCTGTAGGTGGGGACCCCCCCCATCGACTTCATTGATCACGGCTCATGACGACGACAGCGAGACGACCCGTCAGGAGTATCACCGCGTTTTCCGCGCTGCATCTTTTTGCTACCACATGAACAAAACCTCAAGAACGCCTGCTCACGCACACAAATTGATCTGTCCCACCTGCTCTCGCGCAAACAGCAAGGCTTGTTGAGGGGCACAGAGGGCGAGAGAGCAACGCTTGTGCGAGAGAGAGAGAGAACAACGATTGTGGCACACGCGACTCGGAAACCCAGACAAACTCCAATCGATGCCGCGTTCGTTGACAGATGATGTCCTTCCCCCTCCCCACCAAAATCTGATCATCAGAACAGATGTCCTCCCCTATACACCGACCGCACCCCAAGATCTGATCATCGTCACCGCTACCTTCTAGCTACCGCAGAAGAGGACAACCGACCACTTCGCCCTCCCTGAAACGGTCGCAGCAACGCCATCAGTCACGGGCCCGGGGGAGGCCATCGCTCGTACACAAACACCACAATCGATCGAAAAGCAGAGAGAGAGAGGCACGCGTAGTCTGGAGAACACAAACACACCCAAACACGCCAACCGACCACGGAACCCGTTCGCAACCCGAACAGCAGTGGGGATGGAGACGTCCCTCCAAGCCCTGCAACATGGCGCCCCCAAACCAAATCAAACCACAGTCGACATCAACCACCACCACCACCGCCACCACCACCGCCACCACCACCACCCAGCGCCCAATCTACCCATCCAGCCCTGTCCCAACCAAAACGCAGGTAAATAAAGACGTGGCCTCGACCTCACGGCAACCAACCCGACGCAACCCTTACCCCTGCCTCGAACTGGAACATGGGGCGCAGGACCGGCAGACGCGCACAACACTGCCGTTTTCTCCACCCTCCCCTGTCTCATCAGTGCTGCCGTACCCCAGTTGTCTCTCGCCCCTTGTCTGTGTGTCCCCACCCTTGAGGTTGGCTCATCCAATCAACACAACACGGCTCCACACTGAGCCAGGCTTTCGAAAAGACCGCCGCTGAGCAAAAAAAAAAAGAAAGTATTCTACCGGGGCGTGGGAAGCGGCTCAGCCAGCCCTTGGTACATGCCTACAGCACGCACACGAGCGCACCACCTTTCTTCTGTGTTTCGGCCGCAAGCCGCGTATGTCACCGCGTGCACGCAACACAAAACCAGGGGACACAACACGGGTGTCCCCTGAATATCAGAGACAACGCCGACACAAGCTGAGGGGGACAGGCAGAAAGGGGTACGCAGGGGGGGGCGCATTCTCATCCTTTGGGGGGGGGAAGGGGGGGATCATCACGTCGACTGATGCTGGCTGAAAAAACAAAATGCACACACAAAATCAACAAAAAAAATCTTGGGGGCGATAAACCGACATCGGGAGTCTTCTTCGCTCCTCGCTCATCTCCTGTCTCAAGAGAGGAGGACAAGACCTCACGCACAAAAAACAGAAGGAAAGAAGGAAGTCAATCGACGAAAGCTACGACTACGACTACGACTACGACTAGGACGTCGCATCGCACGACGCGAAGGACGACATGCTCCCCGAAGGGGAAGCCGGCATGCCTGGACCCCCTCCGTCTCTGCTGCTGCTGGAACGAGAAACACAACAATCACGATCCGTGTTTTGGGGTGGGACAGGTTTGGTTGGCCACGCTAGATGGATTAGATGCCTCGGGAGCACAACGGTGGACACGGGGCTTTTTCGGCCAGGGCACTGCCATCGATTGACAGAAAGGGGCATACGGCCTACTTCTGCAGGGTTAGAAGGCCAGGCCGGCAACCTTTTCCCCCCAGACATGCTATCTCTACATGCAGCAACGGCCTCGCAAGTACCGTATGACAGCGGAATGATGGCAAGAGATGAACAGCAACCACGCTTATCGCGCGGGGCAATCATCCAAGCGCTCCGAGAGCTGGATTCCTGCTATGCATACGCTGCCAATCAGCAAGAGATACTGTCGTCTTCAAACCAACAAAATCCGTTCCGGTCTTATTCTCAGCACCTTCTGAAATCCGTACCGATGCATGCACACAAAGAAAGACATCATTGAGGAGGTGGGCGGACGCATTTCTTCTCGGGAAAACCCTCAATGGTTTGATGGTTCCAGGAACGATTCTCGATACAGTGTGATGTCCCAAAGGGATGCTCGGTGCAGTACGCGGTAGGTCGACGGTGATGTATGGATGTAAAAAAAACACACTTCAGAGAGCTGGACGGCGGAATCTCTTCTCGGGAGAACCCTCACTGGTTCCGGGAACGGTTCTAGGAACGGTTTTAGGAACGGTGCGCTGTCCCGAAGAGATGCTCGGTGCGAAAAAGTCGTGTGTTTGCATGAAAAAAAAAAACTGACAGAGCTGGGCGGAGACATCTCTTCTCTGGAGAACCCTCACTGGTTCCGGGAACGGTTCTAGGAACGGTGCGCTGTCCCGAAAGGGATGCTCGGCGGCACGAAAAAAAAATTGTGTGCGCTAGAAACAAACAAACCCGACAGAGCTGGGCGGAGGCATCTCTTCTCGGGAGAACCCTCACTGGTTCCGGGAACGGTTCTAGGAACGGCGCGCTGTCCCGAAAGGGATGCTCGGTACGAAAAAGTCGTATGCATGCACAAAAAACAAACCTGACAGAGCTGGGCGGAGGCATCTCTTCTCGCGAGAACCCTTCGCCGCCGCCGTGTCCGCCCTCGTCCTCCCTCATGCGGGCCTCGTTGTAAAACATGGCCACCTTGTTCCTCAAAAACTCCGTCTCGTGCCGTAGCTCCTCGTTGTCGAACTGGAGACCCTCCATCTGAATCAATTCAATGCATCATTACATGGAGGGAGGCGTGCTCACATTTTTCATGACTTTGGGGTTACCTCATTATCGAACTGGAGACCCTCCATCTGTGCACTCAACATCACCGCAACAACGACGTCGAGTCTACGGCCTTCTTCTTGCAGATGCTTCGCAACAGAAGCAACACATGCACGGTTCGACCTTCACGCCTCGGTTACCGTTCGATTCACTCCGTCCACGATCCCCCGGGTGTACGACAACAACCGCTCCCATCACTCGCCTTCTTCAGGAGTTGCATGCTGACGTGAGCGTTGTCCTTGTGGGTGCGTCGCATCTCCTCCATGTCTTCCACGGCTTCCATCGCCTGGCGCTTCAGCATACGGATCTGCAATCGGTCGTGAACCAAACCCACGACAAAAACCACAGCAGCCGTCAAGTTCGTGGATCTTGGATATCGCACGCACGAAAATCCAGCTATAAGCATGCTTGTAGGGGAACCACAAAATCGGACCGTGTGTCCTGCCCAAAACCAAAACCAAAAGTCAACATACAAAAAAATCCAAAAAACAAATCGAAAGCTATTTCCTTGTATTTCCTTGTGTGTATCTGTGTGCTCTAAAGATCACCGATCTATGGAGTAGACGTGTCACTCTAACGGACATTAGGCTTTTGACAGCTATGTTTACGCAATACAATCCAAAACGCCGGCACAACGTCAAGACTACTCGATCTTGACAAGCGCACTCGAACAGGACAGGCAGCAGCACAACAATCTACACCAAACAAGCACAAAAAAAGAAAAAAGGGACAGTCAAAGATGCGTCTATTGCAAGAAAGAAGCAAAATCGAAGACGCTCGGGCAAGAACTACCCGTACGCATACATACATCGAACGCGCGTCAGCGCAAGACTCATATCACCTCATCCTGCTTGGTGTTGACCTCGTTGGTAAGCTCCATCATCTGAACCATGGTCCGTTCCGACGTGAGCCTTGACTCCTGGAGCTCAACCTCCTTCGCATTTAGCTGCAAGAACATCCATCAGACAAGTTGGGTCACCACAGATGTCAAGAGGTAAACGGAGCATACGTAGATTAGACCGGCTGGTTATTGTGAAGCCCAGCCCCGCAAAAAAGTGGCACACAGCAACCCCGCACGAAATTACACGGCGCACACATTTCAGCCCACTTGTGCGAAAAAAGCACGACACACACAACCCAGCTCCGCAACCCAGCTCCGCAACCAGTGAAAAAACATACACACCACGCAAATGTTTACAAAAGCGCACCCAGTCCCATCCCATCCCATCCTTTTCACAGCGCACCCAAGCCCATCTTACCTCGGCCTCCTTCGCCATAGCAAGCTGCTCGAGCTGGTTCTTCAACAGGTCCAGCATCTCGGGGTCCTCCCCCTGGTTCTGGTTCTTCCTGTGGAGGGGAGGTGTCGCTGACGTCACGCCGCTCCCCGCCTTGGCAGGACTCTTGCCCCCCCCGCCACCGCTGGGAATTCTGGGGGAAAAGCCTGGGTGGCAAGAGAGTGGGGTGTATGGGACACGTCGATGCGAGAGGGAAAAATGATAAATAGATACTGGTGTTCTGTGGTGCGGCGAACAAAAACATGACAGCAAACACACGCGACTCACTAACCTCTTGCTCTATTTCATGTTCCGTAACGGGGTCGACTTGACGAGAGAGAGAGCAAGGTATCAGACAGAAAAAAATCACAAACCAACCCCAAAACGCAGAGTATCACAAAGAGAAGCGCCATCGATGGCGGCAGTCTAGCCCGCAACCCACCTGGACCGCCGCTCGACCCAACCGAAAACGATGCCGCCGTACTCAGGGAGGGTCTCGTGCTCTGGCGACGGGGCGGCGACGAGATGCCCGGGTTCGCGCGGCCCCCGCCGCTCCCGCCGCCCAATTCGAAGACGGAGGATACCCGGCGATTGATGCCAGGGCGCCCTCCCCCACCGCAGCCGCCGCTGCCGCCAGCATCGGGGCCCCGCATCTGGGCGGCCATGGCGCCAACCTTAGCCTGGGGGGGGAGGGGGTATAGAAGTTGTACCAGTTACGGTTTTAAGATATTGAAAGAGAATACAGAGGTAGTAGCGATACGATTTAGGAGAAATTTCGAGAGAGAAAGCACGGGTTCACGAAGGGTGAAAGAGTCTTGATATTGTACAGTGTTCAGGTCCCAAACACTTCCGTCAGGAGGCCAAGCTGCTGTTAGGAGGAGCAGCCTTATCCCGCCCTTCACAAAACAAAAATCACTATTTAATGACAAACAAATATTGAAAAATTGTACACTAAGAAAAGGGTCATGTCTAAAAGCAAGCCCAGGGTGGCCCACTCCACAGCAAGGCTGTGGGTGGTGTACCCTGGGATGGAACCTCACGGGTGGATAAAACGGAATATTCGCTTCCGCCCCACAACAAGGGCAGGAGCAGCAGCGGTAGTGGAGGGCAGCCGCAGAAACGCACCTGGGTAAGCAGCCTTCGCACACTGGAGACGAGGTCGTTTCTCATCTCCTTGTCCGCCACCTGCCGCACAAAAAAAAAAAAAAAAAGGAGAGAAAAGAGAGGGGAAAACAAGCATTCATGGAGCGGGTGTAGTTGACATGAAAACAGGCATCTAAGGGGGGGGATGGAGACTTTGTCACGCACAAACACGCGTAGCGATGAAACCAACGCGCAACCACCACAACCGACGACGACTGTTGACTTCATTTGAGCAGTCCAACAGACGTGGTGCGGCGGCCTCCTGCGTGCTGCGTTGTCGAGAGAGAGAAGGGAAAACGAGCAAAAAAAAAAAAAAAAAAAACGAGGAACCCCGACGACAACACCATCTGCAGACCACCGTCACAGCATGTTGTAACGAGAGAGGTAGAGGTGGACAGGCACCGCGATGAGCCAAGAGAGACAGGGTCAAACGTGCAGTTACAGAAAAATAAAAAGTTTGGCGTGTGTGTGTGTGTGTGTGTGTGTGTTTTCTTAATATGACACAACGAATCCATCTCTATCATAGAAAAGAGTCTGAGACAGACTAGCAATGAATTCATAGCGTCAGAAAGTACCTGTATGTCTACCGTTTTCCAGAGAGCATACAGGGACATCTCACCTGCGGGTAACAGGCTCAACAAGACAGTTTGGTAGCTGTCTTTGTTTTGGCATCGGGTGTTTTCAGTTTTCGGTTTTGGGGACGAAATATTTACAGTATATCAAAAACACCGAAAAACAATAAAACCGCGAAGACGACGATGAGACATCACACACAACACCAAACGCATGCCAACAACAACAACAAATACATCAACTATTTACACCGCCAACACCATCAACACACTCTGGCGTCATAACCACCATCATCATCATATCATCTCACCTGCACGATCACCATCCGGGCCTCGTCAGCCGACGAGCCACCGCACCGCATCGTGAGGTACGTACTGTCGTCCTGGCTGCCCAACCCGTGCAGGTCTCCGTGTCCCAGGGACACCTGTACAATAAAAAAGAAAAAGCGCGCAGTCCCGCAACCATAAAAAAAAAAATGAATCGTTTTGTCCAAAACACAACAAATCCATCTATAGCCATGGACAAGGTTCTAGGGTAAAATGGAAGTGAGTAAAAGCGTCAGCGGGGTGCTACCTGTGTTTGTACGATTCGCCAAGCAGCATATAATCATGTCTCCGCTGTGGGTACAACGTAGCAGGCTCAACAGGATAGATCGGTGGCTATCTTGTGCATCGGACTACTACTACTCTTATGTTATGCCGGCAAGGTGTAGAGAAATACATGGAGGTGATCGTAGGTTTTGGGTGTGTGATTGTTGTGACCGTTCGTAGAGAGGATCACGCGGAGCGTATGCCTGAATGTTCACTACCCTTCGCAGCGTTTGCAATTAAGTACGGAGTAAACATGTTGGAGAAAGCATGCAATCGGGGAATTTGGGCTAGGGCTAGGGCTAGGGATAGGGAATACGATCTGCGTACCCCCTCCCTGTTCTATTTCCTCGTGAAACATAGTTGCTCGCGAAGACGGCCTGATATGTTTGCAGTTATCCAGGCTTGTTGAGACCACAGTTTTTATACATTAATGTGTGTAGCATGGGCGGTGGTAGGCATGGGTGGTGTGCATGTTGACTCGATGGCTACGGAGATTGGAGCAACTTTGCAAATTTTTGTGGTTGTTGTCTACACCTTTGTCAAAAACATTTCCGTCGATAAAAAAAACACTGTTTCAGTAAAAACGGCGGCGAGATATGCACTTCGCGAACTCGTGCATGTATCAACGGCGACGCCACGGCCCCGCGACTTGCAACACGCGTCCCCAAGTCTCGGGAAAAAAGGCATCAACCTCCAAGGCGGCAGGGAAAACATGATAACGCTTGCTTCATTTCCCACCGACAAAATCGATTCACATGACACACCCTCGGCAGCGGGGTCGTGCTCAGGTAACATCAAAAACACCAGAGAGTAAGCGAGTGGAAAACCTTCTTGTTTGCCACGATTTCCCGTGAAAAAAAGAAAGAAAAAAAAAAAACTCCCGACAACGTCAACCTTCAACATCTATCTAGCGCAGGCGGTGCTCTTTCATCTATTCTACTCCTGTACTATTGTACCGTTTAAGGCCGCCTGTTGGAGGCCGGTTGCCCAATGTAAGGCCGGTGAAACCGCTTGGCACAAGAAGGAATACCCAGGTTGTTTCATACTCCGAACAGTGCCGGGTGCCCGATTCAAGGCCGGTAACATCCCCTGGGCCACAGCGGCCTTAACCTCCACCATACCCTCACCTTGAGGCGGGAGTCCATCTGCATAGGGCGCACGGGGGCCCTCCAGATGAGATACGACCCCTTTGCCGCGAAAGTGAGCTTGCTGCTGCCCGCTTCACCCTCCTCCACCTTCATGATCGCCTCCACTTGCCGAGTCTTGTCTGAAAATGTCAACAAAACAACAACATAAAGTGGGGGTGACTCGCTTTGATCAGGAACTTGGGGGTGTTATTAGGAATTTCAGGCATGGCTCCGCCCGCCCTCTCTATTTGTTAGTTATTCCCTGACGAAAGGGGGGACCGGTGGATACGGGGGGGGGGGGGGGGGGGGGCCCCCCCAAGGAAAGGGGGTTTGCCCAGTCCCCCCGCAAAAGGATACTTTCCCCCCCCCTTTTCCCCCTTGAAGGGAAACCGTAGGAAACCTGGTTCCCCTCCGTTGGACCGGCCTTCTTTGCCAAAAATTTGGGACTTCCCCCTCGGGGGGGCTGGGGGGGGGACCCCCCTCTTA